GGGTAGAAGAATGTTAGGACATGTATACTTTATATTTGGCTAGAAGAAATAAATGTTTTTTAAATACTTTCATTGAAGATACATAATTTTATATATAAGATTTTAACAGACCATTATTAATATTCATGTGTTAAATTTAAACGGAAATTTTATAAAAGATGAATAAAAATTGCACAATTTATGGGGACATTTGTTTGAATGTAAGCATAAGAAAAATATTTGCATATATATTGGAATATATATATGTTTTTAAATACTATACTAAAGAATATATAATTAATCGATCATAAATTCTGCAATATCAGTTCTATGTTTGTTAATGAGACTGTAACAATTATTTACAGAATTATCATAAAATAAATGTGATAATCGCTGTGTACTACGATTTAAAGTAAATGTACTGAATGGGAAAAAACTATCAAGCGTATAATTACAAGAATTAGTATCATGAATAATTGGTAATTGATGTCGTGAATTACTTTCAATTATTGTATAACAATATGCCAATTGATATGTTCGTGCTATGTCAGCAAAATTATGCACGACTTCAGATTGACATGATTTAAGAGGGTTTAATTTGCACGTTACAATTCTAGGTAGATCTAATTCATGTAGACACATCATACCTATAAAAAATAAATAACTTATATTAGCAAACTATATATAGAGTAGGATATTTAATAAATAGATACATCCAGTTTTATTAAATTTCAAGTTTAGTGATATTATTCTGACTGAATTTGTTCTGACAGATTTTTTGTAAGTAGTATTTGTAAACATTCGAAACCAAAAAGATAATTAAGTTTTCACATTTTGTGTCTCACTCTGTGTAATTAGATTCATAGTACTTACTATTTTTTGTACCAATAAAATCTTTGTGTCTAGCAGTCACAATAAAAAATAATGCTTGACAAACAGAATAAAATACAGGATGATTCATTGGATCATCACTGACATAATCTGAACTTTCTTCCATATTGATATAATTATGTATCCACTTTGCTAAATTGGACTGTGTTTTTTTTACTAATCTGAAATAGTTATGCGTTTTAGATACATTTATAACATATAAAATAGAACAATGATACAAGTTAAAGAAACAAATTTAATAATTACCCTGATGAAACAAATGAAGCTGCAGCAACTAAGCTTGCAATATATGATAAACATGTATGTCTCAATATAATCGGTACATTTGGATCAGTTGCTTTTCTCCAAAGCCAGTCTAAAAAAGCTTCTACAACTACTACTTTAAAACTACAAATGTAGAACATGATGTATTGCACACACTGACTTCCATGTGTGGGTAATATTATTGTTTCAAACATTTTCAAAATATCAAGATAAAGCTTTTTAAGAGACTCCATGTTTAATTCTTCCTTCACATAACAGGTATTATATATAAATTTAAGTATTTGTTCCATGCATACATTCAAAGTATGTGCTATTGGATGTAATGACTTTATATTTTCTTTATTTTCATTACTTGTATTTGTATTAGTATCAATTTCATCATTGCTTTCCATTGCATCATCTTCATCTTCTTCATTGTCTGATCGTGGAATATTTACATCTAATACCATTAACCTTAAATATATTACAATAAAATAGTATCTTTTTTCATCAATTATTACAAAATACAAATTTTAATTATGAATATTATTTGTTTTATATATTTACCTGTTAATAATTAGTGATAGTATATCTGACCTTAACTGAGGAGCATATTCTAATAGTTGAAATAATGAATATATATAAACTTCATGAACATGTGTACCATGTATAATATATGGAAACCTTAGCCTTAGTGATTGCAGTAAAAGTTTACTAGACCTGAAATTTATAAAAAGCAATTTATTTTCTTTTACTGCTCATAAAGCACTTTTAATATAACTACTAAAAATGTATAATACTTGCATTGGTACAGCTTTCAAGATTTTACGTAAAACATCATGTATATGGTTTAATCTATCTACATCTTCTTTTCTGTATTCTCCTGCTTCCCATTCTATATCATTTTCTGCTAAAAAAATTAAAATAATTTTGAATACACAAGCGTATACCTTTTTTTGTTTTTAAAAAGAAGTGTTTAAAAAATTTTCATTTCGACAATTATTTCAATAATAAAATTAAAAGTTTACCTGGCTTAAATAACTCAACAAGTTTATCTATTATACATTTTCCATGATAAACCTGTGCACATATTAGATCTTCTAAAAATATTTTATAAGCAGATATTACTTCTGGTGACCTGTCAATCCAATTTATCTGAAGAAGCACCTCAACAAAGATTTTATGAATAGGACCAAGCAATGATACACATTGTCTTACTTCAGTTAAAAAGTCTGCTAAATCAATATCCTGAATACAATTTTCCAGATTAATATTAACTTTAAAATTTCAACTTCACTTGTATAATATAATAAAGTATTTTATCATTATTTACCTTGACATTTGAATTTCTCAAAGTACATATTAAATCTTCATAATCTTTTATTCCATTATTACTTTCAAAATTTAAAAGTATATTTTTAATATTTTTTGGAAGTTTGAAATATACCCTGTTAGATTGTTTCACCAATTGTGATCTGACACCCGGCGATTTTAATATAGATGACAGATTGCTAACTCGCGATGAGACAACCGACATCTATAGAAAACATACGTTAAATTATTAAAGCGATAAAAAAGGCAATTTATTATTAATAACTGCGGCATTTATATTGTTCAATTGTTTAACGAAACAAAGTTTTGTCAATATTGCATTGAACTTTGATTATATAAAAATAAAATTAAAAGACAGATACACAAATAAGGTTACGTCAATTAGACAGAGAGAAATTAATGATTACTTACTTTTATGATTAAATTTTTTAATTTTCAAGCTTCTATATTATAAAAGTATATGTTATTCATGAATTATTATATACACAAACAATGAACGTACTATTTACTATATTTGTAACTAAGAAGGTCAACATGTGGTTACATTTCGCATGCCTGTAAGAAATTCTTCACCACTTATATGCGCCATGTTCCGAATTTAACAGTTGAAGTAACATGTAAATAGAAATTTCTCTAACAAATTATAGTTTTTTTTATTTTTCTATATCTTTGTGGTCGTTTATGTCTTAGAATAAAAACGTATAAGAAATCCTCTATATTGCGGTGTGAGAGAGAAATAATTCTTTTGTTATTTTGGTTCACTATTTTACTAGCACTTTCCTTTCTAAACATTTTTGCTTTAGATTTGAAATACTAATTTTCAATATATATTTTAATTGAATAGTATGTAAACAATACATGATCATAGTTTTTTATTGTTTTTATCTGGATAGATTTTTCTACTAATATCAAAAAAAAATTTAAGAAAATCTAAACAAATATCGGTACATATGAATCTAAATTCAAAATTATTGTAATGTTTGTTTTCAAATTTTTTCGAAGCTCGTCTCGTATAGTAAGATAAATAATACGAAAAGATGGATAATTTTAGTAAGCGATAATTTATTTCAGTTAGGAATTATTAGAAAAGGATAAAAATGTATATAGTATAGAGGACATATTACTTATCAATTTTTATTATATTATATCAGTAACTTAATATTATTATATTTTGTAAAACTTCATGTTTTCTTTAAAATAAAACCGTGGCATCCAAGATAAGACGTGTGAAAGAATTTGCGTGGCAGTCAATAGGTTATGGTTATTAATTCATACTCGTAAGTTTAATAAATGTTTTGATTATCAAATATGTATGTAATATAGCGTATATTGTTGTAATATTATTACATAACAATAATTTATAATAATCGAATGTTGTAAAGTTAATGTTTAAATAATAATAGATTTCAATATTTATTTAAACATAATACGAATGCAAACATAATGTAAATGTAAAATAATGATAAAATTTTATTAGGCGCGAAACTCATATTCATTGGTGGCTAAAGTAGTACAGACAACAAATATGGATGACTTTGATAGATATATAAAGTCAAACTACACAGTTTACCATTGAGTCAAACATCTCATGAACAAACATCTCAGCTCTTCCAATTTCGTAAGTTTAAATAATTTATTCCTTTGATTATTTTACATTTATTTATGCTATGCATAGTATATATGTAGTATTATAATATGAATAATAGCAAATTTTTTAAACATTATATAAATATTAATATAATGTGAGTATAAAGTAATTTTAATGTCAAATTTTGTTTGATGCAAATTTCAACCTTTGAATCTTTGTTGTTTGATGTGATGGTTGGAATAATTTTGACAGGTAATAAATTTTACAGATACTTGTAATATAATTTTTTTTTATATTTATATTTCAACTGATAATTATTGAAACATAAGTTTATTAATTTAAATGATATTTATATTTAAAATATGGTAATTTATAAGTCAATTTTATATGATTAATATATGTATAATTAACCTACGGCACAGTAAAAATATACAAAATGATCAGTTGCACATGAAAATACAGAAGGTATAGACTCTGTACATTAAAATAACAAAACAAAATTTATATAAACATGTTTGATTTGACCTTGTTTATAAGTTATAATTTGTTATACAGTTAATATATAGTTTATCCAAATCTGAATTGACTTGATTTTAACTTATTGAGATATTTAAAATCGATAATATACAAAATAATATTCATATCGATAGTATTGAAATACTTTGTCAATTTGTGCATCAAGACTGCTTTTAAATTCGTACCATACCTAGCCTGTTTCAATATGTTTAACAATTAATTGATAAGATGTATTCATGTCTGTATTGAAGTTAGAAATGGTCACTCTGAATAATTTCTTTGAAGATAGATAAGCAGTTATTACATCATAAAACGAACTATAATTCAAAAACAAAGTCACATCAGGAATGTGTTTATATGAATTTATTTTAGCGTGTAGAATACACACCTGCTGTACCTTCAATATGCAATCAGATATCTTGTATATATGTATATAGGAATAATACAATGATAAATTTTATTGTGTATTTTCTAAATTTACAAAATAGTATTACAATATATATAATTACAAGGAGCCTCTTACCATTTTCAATTTAAGTAAAATATTAACTAAATTTTACATGTTTTTGGAACTATATTATGAGTCAAAGTAAATTGGTAGATCTTTTTGTTGTTCTATCAATGTTGCAAGTGCGTTTTCCAAATTTTCTGGAAGATGATCTAAAAGCATTCGCGGCATTACTACCATTTTTGTAAATTCTTCTGGCTGTGCCCACCGCATTTCATATTTCTTTTCATTTTTCTTTTTCTTACTATAAGTAAATAAAAAAATATCACATAATTATAGAAATATATCAATAAAAACTAACTAACTTACTATATTTATAGATACCTTCTTGTATTTGTTTCTGTATGCTTACATCTTGCCAGATGTAATATAAGACCAGCATTGTAAAGTCTCATTTTTGAAAATCTTCTTTGTGAAATATTTGATGTTAATACTGTGTTTTCCTAAAGACAAATCGCATAATTCATTAGACATAATCCATATACATACATTCAAGTATTCATTTGCTGATGTTTATTACCTCATTATTAGTAGTTTCAGAATATGTTAATAAAGGAGACTGTCCTGGTATTGAATTAATGATATCAGAAGTTGTCCATGTTTTGTCGAGATCTTGTTCAGGTACACCATGTAATGCATAACCAAAACCATTAAGAATTACTCTGTACTATTAAAACAAAGAAAATTATGAGAATTAATAAAGTTTCATATGTTAATTCCATGTTTCTACAAGGTATAAAAATTATAAGCAACAGAAAAAAAAATGATAGTAAAAAAATATATTGGGTTGGCAACTAAGTGATTGCCGGATTTCAAATAAGAAGGAAACGACAAAATCCGCAATCATTTAGTTGCCAACCCAATACCTTTGGTAATCGACATTCTGCAAGAGTGGCAAGCAAAGATGTTCTTAAATCTTCTGTACTTTCAACACTCAATCTCGTTACAAGATCATCTCCAAGGGTTACTGTTAATACAAATTCTTCTGTAACTTTAGCAGCACTTCGGCTAATAACTCCAGCTGTTTAAATAAATTTATTTTGTATTATTTTTTACTTAAAGTGATAAAGAAAATATTACAAGCATCTGAAGATATTACCTGGTGTAGAAAATGCATAAACTCTTAAATTCGGGTATTCAGAACGTAATAGTATGCCCAGTAAAACTGCCACACCAGCACCTAAACTGTGACCTATAACAATTTCATGAATAAGCAATAGTAAAAAATTCGTCATGTTACATAAGATTATTCTATTATTTAATTTAATAATAAAATTATAGTAACTTACCAGTTACTGTAAGGGTATATGTAGGATATGTATTAAAAGCCATTTCTAAGATTTTATAATGATATAATTGTTTTAAAAGTGCTTTAGCTCCTAATATCATACCCTTATGTGCCTACAAAACAAATTAATTTTTGTTTTAAATAATGCGCATAGACGCACACACAAGAAATCGCATTATACGTTTTATAAATACGTTCTAATAATGAGATGAATATAAATATTAATAGATAAAAAATATTTAATTTTATATCTACTATTCAATATACCATTAATCGATGCAATTTTAATGAAGAACGTATAATGAATCATTTATCTCTTTTTTGTTTTTATAATTTACAAACATAATTACCATGCTTCCTGAAGGTAATCCAAGACATTCAAATGTCTCGGATGCTGCGGCGATATCTGTGATTAAATCTCTCAACGACAGAGAGCCTCGTACAATTATAACGATACTAGATGTTTTATGATCGACTATCACGCAAAAAGGTATCTATAATTATATACAAAGATGTAAATGTTTTATGATAAGATATTTTTCTACTTCTTTCGAAAATAAGCTTACCTCACATAAATGATTCTTGAAACTAGCGAATAAAATGTCATCATTTGATAATTTCGATATGTATTTTACCCCCGATAAGTTACAGAAACAACAATTGTCGTTCAGGATGACTTTCCGTTTTTTTCTGGCAAAATATAATGATGTAACAATACTAAATCGTACGAAAGATTTGTTTAAGTATGTCATGTTATGAAATTTACCGGAAACAGGCACAGCAAGTTAAGTTCGGTATTAAACGAAAACATCCTGTACATATATGTTGATAACAAACGAACAAATGGCCATAAGATGCAATCGATAATTTAAGGAAATGATGTGCATTTTCCAAGGTCATCCAACTGGGAGTTTCAGCAAAAATATCGCGTGCATCTAAAAAGAAAGGTTTTAATGGTTTTATCTTTATATTCTCATTAATGAACCATTGTTAATCGATAGTAGTCGTCGAATGAAATTGGATCGATTTGTATACCAACAGTATATTTCGGCCGAGAAAGTAGATTTAAACTTCTCAATTCGTGTGTTTCGCGTTTCTGCCGAACTCGCAGTAGAATTAAGCCTGCCATAATGTCAGAAGGTACCAAATCTGTTCCTCGAAATAGTGCGCTGAGAAGACCTGGAGAAAAATAATTATTTATAATATATGAAACAGTCTAATTATATTAATCATATTATTATTTATATTTATATTAATTATAAGATTTTCAATGTCATTTGAATTATTTTTTCTAATACGTTATGCTATTTAAAAAAAGTCCTGCCTATGCAAAAATCTGAACGAGGATGACGATGACAATTTTTGCAAAAAAATAAGTTTCAAGTCAAAATTTTTCATAAAAAGGATAAGGTAGATCGTCATGATTTCTCTATATAACTAAACGAATATTCAAAACTTCCCTGTTCTATTTCTTTCGCATGTTGTTAATTTTTTTCTTTTATTTATTTATTTTTTTTTTTTTTTGTAATAAACGAAATCGCGATATAAGAGCAGAAAAGATAATGAATATCGCTATCCAAGCTCTAATTATAAATGTGGCAGGACTTTTTAAATCAGGCGTACCTATGTCTCACCAGCGACATGTTGGAAGGTCTCATTGGCCTTTTCGTCTTTCCTCATCCACCAAAGGAATTTGAATCTTCGCCGCCAGTTTCGCGATATCTTTCCATGCTTGATTGAGTCGTCTAGATCTTTCTCGCGTATATCCAAAGAGCCAAGAGGATCGAAAACAAGAATAAAACCAAAGATGGTAAGGCCGATAAGGATCCAATTGAAAAATACCATTGCCTTTACGATGCTCATTGTGTACTGTTCTATTTCGCAATCTATGTTCTTACTGGAGATCCAAAGCGTTCCCAAAATGTTCCAATTTATTTCTGGTAGAATCATGAATATTCTGCAAATATATAAAAACGAAAGAGAAAATTTTTAGAATGTATAAGTAACGATTTGTTTGCTGATGATCAACAATTTACATGCAAGAAACAAAATAGTACTATGATTTTGTTGGAGATCTCTTCCTCTCTCTCTCTCTCTCTCTCTCTCTCTCTTTTTGTTATTTAAAAATGTAGTATTATTATATTATTTACTTACTTCACTGTGAGAAGCGGCTCAACATAACGGCGAGCGTGTGTATCCGTTATGGATCCTTTACTACTATATCTTATGATAAAAAATGTAATAATTATAACTATACCAAGGATGGTTACTTCTCCTATTAAATATACACGGACTACATCGCCTCCTAGTTGACATCTCCAGGTACTTGCGTAATATTTTACGCATCCTATTCCTATCAAGATCAACCTATAAACATATGTGGAAAGTTTTGTTATAAAAAACAAAAGACAATTCATGGTATTTATCGGATTACATTTAGAAAATTTAGAAAATACGGCAATAAATGAAAATCATAAAATGATTAATATGTTTACGTAGATAAAACAAAAATGTGACGTCAATAAAAGACAATTGATATGCTAATTCTCATTCATTGCTGATTACTCACCAAGTAAGGCGTATTAAAATTTCGAACAATCCAGGGTATACAAGATCATCCGTGGCTGCCAACCATTTTCGGCCGAAAAGCTTCAAGGCTGGCATTTTTCTGTAAAATATTTATTTGCAAAATTTGTTATACATGGATACACGAGGATAATTTTTTATTTTTATCAATTTATTACAATATAAATGACGATTTGATAAATCTATAGCTGTACAAACTGTATGTAGAGAGATCCAGAATAGTGATCGTATGAAAATTCTTCGAAAGCTGTGGTCTTTAATGACGAGGTTTTCAATGTTCCATAATATTGAAAGGATACAGCATTTTTTATAATAACTATTTTCTTAAAATTTGTATGACCGTGCGTACTTTAAAACATTAAATTTAGAATTCATTGAACACTCTGACATGACGTAGAGAAAGTTCCAAGAGAAAGTCTTATATCCTTTACATCCGAATCTATTGATAGATAATAGATTAGAATGAACTACGCCATTGTGAATGGTATTTAACAGGAAGAGGAAAAAAAATCGAGATATATTATCTCATTGAGAAATTTTCATTATTTCATAATGATATGATTAATTGTCAGAAAAATAAATTACTTTATTGCATTTAATTTTCATAATGAGTGATGGTGATAATGAATGATATATGTTATTAGTTTGTTTTTACGCGTATGTATGTAAATTAATATTATTCATGAATGAAGCTTGCTTATTAAATATGAGATTCAACTTATAATATAATATATAAGATATAATATTATTTTTGAAACTATCAAAGAAGAATGTGAAGTTATCTCGCAAGAATATCACAAAGAAAGCGATATTTTATTATCGATAATGATAAGAACATATCAAATAAAGAATCATTAATTTTAAAACAATTACCTGACAAAAATTTCTTCTCTTTGAAACTTGACAAAATTTCTCTTCCCTCACAATTGATAAATCGCACTTTTTTCGTCGTAAACGTACAATAACTGTAGAAATATTTTACTTTTCATAAATATACAACAACATAACGTAACGAAGATTTAAAGGATGATAGTGACGGTGAACGAATTGTTAGAAAATTCTTTGAATACCGCATGTACTTTCATTGGTATCTTCATGAAAAAAGTTTTTGTAAGAATACTAAACGGTAAAAGAGGATTCTCCGAGAGGAAATGTAAGCGGCAATCGTAAGATACACACAGTGATACTCCGTCTGACTATTTGCGAAGTCTACTCGTTCACCTTGCTCTGTGACATCCTACGTTGAATTTCACGATTCGGTTGGCCGTCGATTGGTTCAGCGAATCGGCGCGAAGTACATTTTTTCTTCCTCAACCTGTCTTGCGGCACCTTCCTTTGCAATGTACAGGAAAGTATTCTTAAAAGGGAAGCTGTGTTCTCTCCTTTGACAAAGATAGAAATAAACCATATTTTACTTCGTAAGTTTCTATTATGCACTGTATTTTTTTTACAAATGTCATACTTCGTATTGTCTTTCGAATCTTTTAGTATAATAGGATATTAATGAAAATTTATCGAGAAATTTAATAATTTGTTCTATTAAATTTTAAATATATATACATACATGGTCTAAAGTCTTGTAATAATCATAAAGTTGTTAAATAGTAAAAGATAATAAAATAAAAGATTTAGTATATATATATATATATATATATATACTATATTATATATATTATATATATATATATATATATATATATATACATGTATATATATACATATACATATACATGTTTATAAAAGGAAAAGAAAACATATCTCGTTCGCAAATTATATATATTTGCGAAAGAAAAAAAAGCATATCTCGTTCTCGTATATATATATATATGTGTATATTCGCGTATTTTTTCATATTTATTTTTTCGATTTTAATATTCATTGTGTATTTATTACGTTTCTTAGAATAAAATGAAAATAATAATGTATCTTTATCCGTTCGATCTTCCATATTTATTTTTATCCTATCATTTTAGCCTTTTTTAAATATAAAATCAATTTTGTAATTATATTGAAGATAGAACGAGATCTCGAATATTTTTTACGGTACTTTCTTAAGAAAAGAAAAGATTGCCTAAAAATAAGAATTGTTCGACTCTTGTCCTAAATGAATTATATTATTAATTATTAATTAATTATTAATTAGATTTATATTATTAATTATTAATTATTAATTATTAATTATTAATTAATTATTAGAATATCAATTGAATGGTACATCCCCTACGAGAAAGATCAAATATAAGTAAGAATTTATCGTGTTCAGGAGTTCGTTTGAAAATGGCTTGACGAACTTTCACTTGTTTTCCTCTTAACTCAAAGTTCTCTTCGATGACCTAGTTACTTATGTACACATACAAATAAACGTTTATATATGTATATATATGTATACGATGCATATCATGCATTCTTTTTTTTTGTGTTGGATTCCATATAATTGCTGCCGCAGCTTGATGTTGCAGCATCAGCAATTCAAAAGAACAAATAATTATTTTAACTCGTAGAATTTCAAGATATAAATCTATTTTTTTAATCGTTATACGAATAAAATAATAATTATTAGCTTCTTGAAATATATTCTTGAAAATCTAATGAAAAAGGGATAAGAATCATTATAAAGTTATTGTTATTCCGTGGATTTATAAATTTTGAAATAAAAAATGCATTACGAGTCTGATTTGGAAAAATTATTTAAGGAATTTGAAATACCTTTAAAAAAAAAATATAAATAATTTTTTTTTAATGTAAACTATGTATTCTTGAGTTTCGTTATTATGCAAACGTGAATCATCTTGTATTTTATTATTGTATTAGGTTTGATGGATTTTTTGTACAAAAAAAGAAAAGAAATAATTTTAAACTGTTTATTAGTCTGTGACTCTTTCTGCGCAGCAATTTCCATGTAGTAAAGGTCATATGATGCAAATATGTATGTTTCTTCCTGGTATATAATGTACATATGTATTATAGATTTAATTAGCTTATGAATAGCATGTAATTAAAACTTTAAACAGTTGTAAGCTTTTAACTATGTTTATCTTTCATTTACGTCTTTATCATTATCGTAATTCGATATAATACATTTTATACGATTAATGTTAATTACATTATTGCACATATATATGTAAATTATATGAAGTTTTTTTTATAGAAAATCACGATAATTAATACATTATTATATATTATGAATTATTTTATTATTATTTTTTGTTTTATTTGACTATTAGATTTATTTTAAAATTATAAATTGGATTAAATCAAAATCCACGTGGTCCAAAATCGAATTATGGAAAATATTGCTGTATATGCATGAAAAGAACTTTTGCAAATATTTACTTTTTTGAAACCACATACGTCAATTAAAAAATTTTCCTCGTTCAAATTTATTCTCAAACATTGATTTTCTTTGAAATGAAATTGCCTTTTTTAAAACTATATAATATTGAGTTTCATTTGTTATGCATGATGAAGAATTCATTCATGCTAAATATATGATCGAAGAATTTATTTTTAATAATTCTTAAGATTGTTATATTTTATTATTTAAAATAATGTCTTTCGTAAGCACACAAAATGTTCCGCGAGATTATACGATGCCGGCGATACAGCAACGAATCGCTGAGTTATTAAAAAGAAGAGTTGCATTAGAAAGAGTTCCTGGAGAAACTATAGAAGAACGCCTTGTGTGTAGTTTAAATTATTATATGTAGATGAATTACTTTAATTCATCAATATTTTATTAAAGAAGCAGAATTTCTAATGGATTTATAGGCAAAATATAAAGAACAAAGAAATTTTAGACATGGTCTTTTAAGAAATACACATCAGATGGTATTGGAAATAGCAGCATTTATTTTAAATTTAGCACCAGAAACTTTGGAAGAAGGAATTATTGACAAAGATGAGTATGTGAATACATTTAATAATTTCTTTAAGGAAGGTGGAAAGCGAGCTATTATTATACATTATCAATATATGACACCACCATCAATAGGTACTATATTTTTTTGAACTATTTAAAAGTAATATAAAAATGATATTATCTGTCTATATTATATCTTTTAAACAATTATTTCAGAATCTGGTAGATGGACGCCACAGTATGAAAATGAAAAGCAAATTCTGCGTTGTTGTATAACTGATGGTACTACTGAGCAGTTTTATGGCAAATCAATAATAGTTTATCGCTTAAGAACAGATATTGAATTTGAACCAAAACATTTGATGGATGTTAGTAATTTCATTTATTTATTATTTGATTGATTATACTTGAGAAAATAATTACTCACAAATTTTTTTAATTATAATGTAGAATGAAATATGTCAAATATTGTTATGTCCTTATATTTCTCTATTAATCTATACAGGAAACATATTATGCATATGCAGAAGTTGATCTTACTTCACAAAGTCCTGTTGCTGCGATATCAGATTTAATTTCACGATTAAATGAACCAGCAATAAAAGCTAATGTACAATGGGGTGAATTGTCCAAGACAGAAAGAGGTTTCATAATGGCAAAGAATTTTATATATGATTTTAGCGATTTCTGCGAATTTCTTAGTAGTATGTGGTATTTATATTATTTAAATTATTCAATTGGATATTTAATACTGAGAATTTATAGAAGTTATTGCTTTTATAAAATTATACTTAATTTTATTTTTACATTATTTACAGCAATAAATATTGATCTTCAAGGTATTTTAAACTTCGAAATTAATTGGGATCTTTATAATAAGTATTTGACAACACAACAAGATGTAGAACTAAATGCAAAAAATCGTGAAGTTGTTGAAACAGGAGAAAAGAATGTTCAAATTTGGATGAAAACGATGGAACGAGTTAGAATTTTTATTATATTATAATTTATATTTATAAGGTCATGAATATTATATTCGTTTTTTGTATTAGGCAATTGTGGAAAGTCAGCAATTACGAAGAGAAACTGAAGTAATTGGACCTACAGGTGAACTTGCTTATTGGAGACGATTACTTATCCGTTTTTCATCAATTATAGAATGTATTAAATCACCATATACTCAAGCGTTTATTGAATTAATGATTCGTTCAAATTCCAAATTGATGAAAGTATGTATATTCACTACTTGTAACATTTTGAAAGCTTTCATACAAGCATTTTGACTTATGTTATTATGTTTTTTTTTATATATTAATTGTGTATTAATTTTTTATTTAAAATACATCATGTGTTGCAATTATATAGAAATGGAAGAAATTGGTCAACCATGTTATAACAGTGCAAATATTAGCTCAGGACAATGTAACTTATTTATATGCTTTAGAAAAATTTACTAAACCATTATATAGATTAGATCCAACTAAAATAGGAAAATATTTACCTGCACTTATGTATGTTGTACGTATGATCTATGCTACATCAAGATTTTTTAATACAAGAAGAATGATAACAGCAGTATTTGTAAAGGCACAGTATTTTTCAAATTATTCATTGAATGATTACTATTACGTATAATATTATATTTATGTTTATATTACATTTTATAGATGACAAACCAAATGATATTAGCTTGTAAAGGATATTTAACATATAATGGTACATTACAGATTTGGCATGATTCTAAATCTAGCATAATATCCAGAATAAAAGTACTTTCTATAAATCTTTATTATATAGATATTTTTATTTGATTTTTAATTTCAGAATTAGTTTTTATTATTTATTATACTACTTCTTAGGATTGTATTGCTCTTTACACGCAATATTATGAATATTATGATGAAATGTGTAAAAAAGTAAAAGAATGTGCTGATGAAAAACCATTTGAAGTATCAGATATGTATGTTTTTGGAAAATTTAAGACTTTCAAAAAAAGATTAATAAAAGTGAGTACTTAGATGATTGTGTTATATATAAAACATAAATTTTAATAATAATTATATTTTTATTATAGATCATGGATGTATTTGAAATTACTTTAACATACTCCATTCTCCAAAGTTCTACTCTAGAGGGAATAGATGCATTCAATGCTAAGTTTATAAACTTTTTTAACAGGATTTCCTCAAAAAACTACGATCCTTTAGATCATAGAAAACCATATTTTAATTCAGATTATGATGAGTTTAAGAATGATGTAGCAAAAACTGAAATTGAACTTAGAACATTTTTTTATGATACTGTATCTGTAACAACAAAT